GCTTCCAGACTTACCTACAGAAAGATAGTACAGAAAATACAAGCCTCGTTTGATTGATTTCTCTTCTTTGTAGCATGGAGCAGATCCAACTAAAAAGAACAGAGATGGAAATACACCTCTGGATTTGGTCAAAGAAGGAGACACGGACATTCAGGACTTACTGAGAGGGGATGCTGCCTTGTTGGATGCTGCCAAAAAGGGCTGCCTGGCAAGAGTGCAGAAGCTCTGCACCCCAGAGAATATCAACTGCAGAGACACCCAGGGCAGAAACTCAACTCCTCTGCACCTGGCAGGTAAGTGTCACCAGTGCTACCAAGTCTCCTTTTTATTTTTCTTGGCTACGTAATACAGTTTACTAGAAGATGAAGGCAGTACTAAGCATACAGAGACTACTTAGTAAGTGCTTTTGGTTGAGAAAATTCGATACAAGGAATCGCTTATTATAAGGGCTCTCAATTTTGTGATATTAGTATGTGTTTTTGAAACAAATTAACATTTTCTGGTCCATATTATTTGTGTACATGTATGCATTTTTTTTTTCTTTTTCAACTGACATGTTTGCCCTCTTTCGTTTAACTCTAATAGCAGGCTACAACAACCTGGAAGTAGCTGAATACCTCCTAGAGCACGGAGCAGATGTTAATGCCCAGGACAAGGGTGGTTTAATTCCTCTTCATAATGCAGCATCTTACGGGGTGAGCTTGCTAAAGTTCTAGAAAACTGCCTTGACGTTTCCTACTTTATTAAAATATGTACTGTTCACAAAGTAGATAATCTAACCAGTAGCATAGTTTCGTACAATTTTACTCTATTCAAAGCTTTTTCTTGCCTTCCCAGTTAAATCTAACTATGTTTTGGCCAATGACTGCTTTTATAACTTTGTGGTCCATCTACATTATCTAGCACAGTAACAGGTGTGTAATGGGACTCAGTTAATATGTACTGATAAGGGTATTTCTGAACTCTCCCTCAAGTAGAGTTTAGGAACTATAAAAGCCTGTGTAGGCTTGGAAATTATAATGGCTTAGTTTGTCATCAGCTCTTAAAAACGTGCAAGTCACTGGGCATCGTGACGCACACTTGTAGTCCCAACTACTTGAGAGACTAAGGTAGGAAGATCACTTCAGCTCAGGAGTTTGAGGCCAGACTGGGCAACACAATAAGATTATATCTCAAAAAAAAAAAAAAAAAAGTTTAAGTAGAGCAATTGGTATGTATGATTTCATGGAGCTTGAGTTGCTAAAACGCCCCACTGCACGTCCAGAGTCATCCTTTAAGTACCGTACCTGCAGTGATCAGTTGTAGGAGGATGAGGAATGCGTTGCAGGGCCTCACTGCCGTTTGTCGAAACTGACTGACAGGAAGTAGCTGTCACTGCAGCAGAAAGAGATAGATGGAGGCCCTTGTGGTTGTCTCTTCATCCACTTAATCCCTACTTCATTGTAAAAATCTACAGTTGCAGGTGGTGCCTGTGGCTGAGTGGGTAGGGTGCAGGCCCCATACACCCAGGTTGGAGGGTTCAAATCCGGCCCTGGCCAAACTGCAACAAAAAAATATCTGGGCGTTATGGCGGGCGCCTGTAGTCCCAGCTATTTAGGAGGCTGAGGGAAGAGAATCGCCTAAGCCCAGGA